CTGCCTCCTCTGAAGCATGTACCTGTTCAGCTAACCAAATTGTGTTTCTGGAGGCCAGTGGCCTACACAATGAAAATGATTGCATTTGCTTTTGTTCTTTTTAAATTGTGATAACATTGTATCTCACAATTTGGAAAACTTCAATAAGAGTTTCTACTTTGCATGACTGCTGAATTTCATTTGGAAAGTGAGATATTGCAATTAAAGCCAATGGCTACCTGATAATTTTTTGATATTTTTTGTCTGTATAGTCTTAAGTCAATATTTACTGTATTATGGGTACACATTTTCAGCAAAACAGCTATTTATACCATAGAGCAAAATATATATATATATATTTCTTTGAGTAAAAGCTGTTTATTTTCCAATTTGGAATTCTTCCAGAGTATCTGAAATGGTCCATTTAATTTTAAGTAGGGTTTCTAACCTAGTTAACAGTTGACTACACATAGCATTTGTGACACTAGGAGACAATTTAGAGTTTATTCATTAAAGTCTCTCACTTTATGCATGAGAAAACAAAACTTGAAGAACTTAAGAGACTTGCTGGTGGTTACAGAAATAATTCAAGAGACATGGGCCTAGGCATGGGAACAAGTACAGTACAGACTGCATTAGCATTTTTATATCTTATTTAAATGGCAAATTTTATAACTAATACAAACTCCATCATCATATTAAACTGCTTAATACAAATTCAGATATATTGTAGGTTCTCAATAAATGTTAGTTTCCCCATTTTTAGGTGGTGTATATATTTCAATTTGTGAAACATTCGATATATATATATATATTAAACCCTATGGGAACAAGCATATATTCAATTGTATTTGCTTTACACATGGCTTAATTTTCACCAGAACCTTAAGCAGTAATAGGAGTAACCCTCATCACCAGGAGAGACCTTGGTCACACCTCAGGGACTGCAGAGCTCAGCTTCAATCCACATAGCCTCTTCTTTATTCTTATTTAATTTCATGTTTTCACTTCAGTTCTTTTCATCTCTAAATGATTTCAGGCATTACCTTGTCCCATTGTAATGTCTCCCAAATATAAGAAAATCATATTTATTCAGTCAACTCTAGTATTTGAATGGACTCAACTAATGACTCATACCTCCCAACCTTTCTCTTTTTCCTGTGGTCCATAAGACAGGAAAGGTGTCTTAATGTTTATACATTGCAGAATAACCAGCCCTAATTCTCCCACCTGTCTAAGTACTGCCCTTTTGGCATTCTGCTATTTTTTATGAAGATGCTCAAATGCTTATCCCCTTTTATTTTATAATTGATTAGCATAGATTTTTGCCACTAGACTTCAACACCTAGTATAAACTTCAGCCATTATTTCTTTTACTCCGTCTTAAGTAAAAATTTCTTTTAATATGTAGCTTCATAAAATTTTCATTCTTATTAGTCGTTTAGCAATTTCATAACGTATCTAATTTGTTTAAGATATTTTCTTGCTAGACTTACAAACATTTTTATTCATTTCGACTATGAATATTTAGTTTTTTCATGTCTTCAGCCCTTTTGTTTTTCTTGATGTCTGGCTTACTACCTTCTCTCTCTTCATTCTCTTTCTTTCTAAAGAACATTTCCTTACTAGAGTTAGCTATTTTCTCTTAATCTTTATCACTTCTTTAGTGACTTAATAAAAACGCGAAGGCTTATTTTCTTTAGAAACAATTTTCCCTGATTTATGCACATTGGCACTGAATTCACCCAATTCACTTTGCATTTGGTGTAATACTTACAAGCTGTTTTTCTGATTTGTAACAACAGAGAGATAATTACAGGTAAACTTAGCTACTTTAGCTTTAGTCTGTAAGAACTCTTATTTTGATTTCTCCATCTTTAGTCTTTCTTCATACAAATTTTTCATAATAAAACTATTTATTTTGTTAGGTTCAAACTCTTGGTTTTTGCTCACTCCTTTTTTCTACTAACCCTCTATCAATGGAAATAAATATATCAGGTCTCTCATTTTGGAGCAGAAATAAGTTTGTGGCAGACTTTAAAATTAAGGGTAGTATTTTCCAGCTGCATAGCTGTATCTGAATGTAATGATTTGAATGATCTGTGATTATAACTGGCTAGAGATGAAAGATGAACTTACCTCCTACTTTAGCCAGTGTTAGACGTAAACGTGTTCAACTTCTCACAACCTGCCTCTTCACTTTTCTATTCATTCATTTATTCAAAAATTATTTGTTGACTATCCACCATGTGCTATACCCACACTACAGTAGGCACTAGGGGTGCAGGAAGAAATATGGAGAACATGGTCACTGCTGTATAGCTCTTAGCTCCTAGGTGAGGTGATAGGGCACGTCTCATTGACCAGGAAAGTTAGCAGTTCCAAGAAAGGTGAAACCATCATGTGACATCTGGGCTTTTTGGTAGTAGCAACTGTGTCTTTACTTTCTGTATACTCAGTTACTAGTGGAGTACATGGCCCTTAATAAGAGGCCATGGAAAGGAATCTGGAAATGGAAATCAGGGAGCAGATGGAATAAAAAGATGGTGTCAGAGATACAAAATCAGGGAGACAATCTAACATGCAGTTACCGAAGTATCGTTGTGGTCCAGAACATAGCTACTTTGATTGACTCTTTAGAGAATGGACCACCAGAAGAATATTCTACATGTTCTTCTGGAGGGAATATTGATATTATATATGACATAAGCCATCACCAGAATGTAATGTAAGAACACGTAATAGCACATAACATGAGTGTGAAAACTTCTTGAGTGCCTTCAAAATGTATAGATACTATTAAGGATTGATAACAGTAAACAGATGTATTATTAATTCTATTAGTTTTCATCCTGTTCTGTTTGCCCATGGAGATAGTAATCAAATAATTTGGAAAAAAACACACAGGAAGTATTAATCTTAATTATCAATGAGTCAGAAATATTGCAGTGAGTTTGGAAACACTGCTAGTTGAAACTTCAGCTTTTTTCGATCTTTAGATGAAAATCAATGCAAATATCATGCTTAAATAAGAAAAATAAAATGAAAAGGAAAACTTTATATTCACCCAGAAGTACTACCAGTTCTTTTGAGCAATAGTACATTTAAAAGTCAAGTAAAAATTTTGAGGAATTCACACTCAAGACTAGTAATAAGAAGAGTGTCAACATCAACATTGCCTCCCTCCTCTCTTGCTCTTTCTCTTGAACTGGGGATTGAACCAGGGCCTTGTGCATGCTAGGCAAGTGCTATACTACTTGAGTGATGCCCCAGCACCCCCACTGTGTTTTGATAAGGACCAGCAACATCAACACTTCAGTATGAATTGTTGATTGTACTCGCCAGTTTTAACCCCTTCCTGAAAGCTCAGAGGCTAGGGATGAATGGTTGACCTAGCCTGGCACTTGCATGTGGGAGGAGAGCTATGACTCTTCTGTGGTCTCAAACTGCATGACATTCTCCAGACAGGCACCATGAGTTCCTTCGCACCCATTTTTATTACTAGCAACAGGATTTCTGTTTAATAGCATGCCTAATGAGTTCTGTGTTCCGCTTATGAAGAGGATGCTAAGATTTTTCTTCACTTGTCTAAAAATAACAGTGTATCGTGCTTCTATCCCATAACTTACTTCATGAAACCTTTCAAATGTTTTCATGAAAGCAATATCTAGGTGTGTCCAATCTGGTTCTGTGTTGGTTCAGTTATAAATAAATCCATGAAACACCTATATGTTGCTTTCATTTTTTTTTTTTGTTTTTGGTGTAAAGATCTTGCAAATGCAGTGGAAATGGAGAAGACATAAGTATAGCTGTGTAAGAGCCTACACACTCCTTGTCTATGTCTGTGTATGTGTGCACAACAACCAGATTGTTGTGTTGTTTAATTTTTGATCCTTGAGAAAGTGGGTGTCGGGGAAACTTTCAGAAGTGTCTGACTAACAAAGTGATAACCATTCAGGCTGAGTTGGCTCAGGATCTCTGATCATCCCAAAGGAAACAACTTCAGACTTCAGACAACACTTTCTTTTGGTACATTTTACAATAAGCCAAGTCACCTTATAGTATAGCTGTCTTTTGTTATGAACAATTAGCTTAGTAGACAAGGAGCAGAACTAATAGATAACCTTTGTATTTATAAATTATAGTTTCCATATTCAGTTTATTGAATTGGGGGAAAATCATGATGTGCAGAGATCCTTCCCAGCATGAGCCGAAGGCTTCCCATTAACTACACTTCAGAAACAGAGTAAAGGGGACCCTAGTAGTTTCTGGAATTTCTGTGTTGCAATTAGAATAGCATGGCATAGAGACTCCTACTGAAAAAAGTGAAAATGAGCATTTTAAGTAGCCAATTGTCCTATCAAAACATTTATTTATTTTGCTTTTCTCCTCTTTTAGAATATAACCAGTAAAAAACCATCTGCATCCTGGGGGTAAGATGATGTTGGAGCAGGATGCAATGACATGGATTTGACCTTGGGAGAAGGCCTTTGATATTTTTTTTAAAGTCATAGTATTGTGATAAAATGAGCTGGACACGATGTCATGTTGAAAAATCAAGTTGAATTAACTTAGAAAAACTGCAATTTGGCCTTTACTTTCTGATCTATGCTTATGCTATTTCAACATGAGAATTACTCAGGACACATGTACAAGGAAACAGAAGTCTTTATATTTATAACAAAAGGAGACATGTCAAAAGTTTTCTGATTTTGTTCAGCGTCTTTCAAAATCAGTTGGATATATTTTTAATTTACAGTTTACACTTTACATTGTCAACAAAGATGAGAATTCCTCATTAGTAACAGATGAAAATGACACAAAATTAAAAGAACAGAAATAAAGACATGAGTGTAAAGTATCTTTTAAACACAAATGTTTTACCACCGTGCCTTTAAATAAAAACAAAGATGTTTTGATAACAAAGCATCTTTCATCTGCCCTGGTATTTCAGCTTCACAAAGCTCATTTGTCTGCCCTGCTATTTCAAAATGTATCTAATCTTCTATTTTGATTTTTAGTTTCTTGGTTAGTTTTATGGTGGATGCCCGAGGTGGTGCCATGCGAGGATGCAGACACAATGGGCTCCGAATTATTATTCCACCTCGGAAATGTACAGCCCCAACACGAGTCACCTGCCGACTGGTCAAACGCCACAGACTAGCGACCATGCCGCCCATGGTGGAAGGAGAAGGCCTGGCCAGTCGCCTGATCGAAGTCGGACCTTCTGGTGCTCAGTTCCTTGGGTAAGGGTTTCTGATAAGCCCCCACTCAGGCTCGGGTGAGCTCGTGTCCTCTCCCGGAGGTCAGTAGGCTGGGATGCAGAAGGTACGTCAAGTCATTTGGAAAGACTTTTGGCACCTGTGAAATTTCTAGCTTGAAAAGCAGCACCTCAGTGCTTGACTCCACATCCATGCGTCCCCGCTTAAGGCGTTCGTGTTACGTTTACCACGCCGGTGGATTCTTCTTCTTCCTCTTTAAGTATGATAATAGCTGCCACACTCCCACGGTGATATCCATGGGGTCGGTGATGGTAGGTATTTTTTTTTTGGTCATCTGAGACTTAAGGGCAAAGTGGAAAGAAAACAATTCTGCTCTATTCGTCACATAAATTTAAGGTCGCACACAGTTATGAAACAGAGTCATCTGCACGGTGGAGAGCAGGGTTGCCTTTATATAACAGCTACACATTTAGTCTATGTGATTTCTTTTTTTTCTGTTATCAAAACTGCTACCTTGAGCCTTAAAAATAACACTGGCTGTCTGTTTATCCTCTGTTTGCTTTAAGAAGAAAATGTCAACACTAACTTCCACTGTGCTCATTTTGGCAATTTTGAGCAGAAATTAGCATTTCTCCTTTCTTCTGTTTGTTCGAATGGCTGCTATTATATTAAGTGACAATGGGTCAAGAAATGCATAGTGACTGCTGAAAACCAACACGGATAAACTTTCAGAGGCAACAAGTTTCAAAACACTTTGAAACAAGTCAATTGTATTTAAGTCTTGTCGCATCAAGCCTGGGTGCTTGAATGACTGGGAGGAAATGCCATAAATCATGACCTCTTTTACATTGTCAGTATCATACTGGGAAGAGAATTTCCTCGCTTTAGAACTCACGCCATGTTCTAAAGCCTGTAATTTGGAGCAAATAGTGAACAGGTTGCTGCAAATTACTTTCACCCCTGAGAAAGGGTGTGTTAATATTTCCCAGTGATAGAAACCTCCTTGTGTGTCCTCCTGTCAGACAGATGAGAGCCTTAAGGAGCCTGTGAAGTTCCGGGTTGCATCGAAAAAAATGCCATAATGTTTGGAGTGACCCCAATGATCTTTTCATCTGTGTATCAGATCCTTTCCCCCTCATGCTCAGTTAGTTTCAGGCTTTTTAATAATCAAATCTGTTGGGGAATACATATGGAAACATCTGTCCTCTGTACTGAGCAGAGTTTTTATTATATTCCCAACAGTTTTGTCTTTCTTGTGGAACATTTTTTTTTTTTCTTTTTTTGGCTAGTGCCCTGGCGGTGAACCTAAATAGGGATAGAGCTGACAGCTAAGTGCTGTCCTGGCACAGATGCGCCTCCATTGTCCACTCTGGGTCTTGGTTCCTTGCTCTTTGTGACCAATGGAGGCAACAGAACCACACGCAGTGTGAAGCCCAAGTTCACCCTGTGGCTCAGCTGGTGATGCTGGGTTCTGTGGAAAAACAATACCTCAAGCTTACTTATGTTCTTTCTTTCACTGCTGCTTTGGATGTACTCAGTAAACTTCACCTGCCAACGGCTCCTCCCCCCCTTAATGAGGGAGAAAGTTTGGTCAGCCGCATTCTTCAGCTGGGGCCTCCTGGAACCAAATTCCTTGGGTAGGAGTGACTTAAACAAATTGATGGCTGCTGGGGCCCCCATTCTTCTCCTTCTTCTGCAGTATGATTTCTCTTTTTGTCATTGTGCCCGTGACATGTCCCTCTCTATAATTTGAACTCTGTATAACCTATCTTTAGTGGACCATTTCTGACCCTTGTGGTATGTGACTTTTATTTTTTTGAGTGATGTTTTTATATCTTTTCCCTTAAAGTGCTGTGACCTTCATTTTTGTTTAAGCATGAGATCTGCCTAGTCATACGATGTGCTAGTGATGATGTTGTCATGATGAGTTTGGAGTCTGTATCAAAGCAACCTGGACTCAAAAAGTGAAAGCCTCTTTACGTTCTGAGGATGAATGTGACCTAAATATTGTAGGATGGTGCATGTTCTGGATCCTGAACATAATAGGCATTGGACACAACTGGACAGAAAGCCGAGTGGCTCGATTAGGGCCACACTGTGTACACATGCCTATTGCTTCCTTGAATGAAGATAAAATTAGCAAAACCACGAGTGCATGGCTCCTTAGCACACGTCGTCTCCCTTTCTGACATCTCCTCATCCACAACACATCAACTTATGCAATGTACGAGCCATTTCCCTCTTAAGCCATTTTGTCATTCTGCACCTTGTAGAAAATGTTTTAGGAGATTGGCCTACATCTGAGACATGCATGCACATTTCTTTTGCTTAAATGTGTTATACCTACATTTATCAAAGGAGAAGTTCCAGAATGCCACATGCACTCACAGGGAAGCATCCTTTGGCTTAAGGTAGCAGCATGTGCCTTAGGACCAGTGCTCCCGAGATGGAGTACTGCTGTGCCGCCATCTGTTAGCCACTGGGCTCTGGAGGACGGCCTGCTATGTCCCTATCCCCAGAAAGAGCAGAATTCCAGGTCACTTTGGAACAGACAGAGTGGAGGTGCTTGTCTTGCTGTTGGGTAGCAAGAACACTGAATGTTCTGCGTTGCTGTGTCAGGCCTGTGATTGTGGAGATCCCCCACTTTGCGGCCCTTCGAGGAAAGGAGAGGGAACTGGTGGTCCTGCGCAGCGAGAATGGTGACAGCTGGAAAGAGCATTTCTGTGACTACACTGAAGATGAGTTGAATGAGATCCTCAACGGCATGGATGAAGGTAACTTCAGATGAACGGTTTCAAGGGAAACCTAAAGTGAAAGCATGAAAACTAAGCACTTCTTTCTTACAGTATTTTACCACAGCAGGCCCTCTGGTGCATTCCAGTGGAGAGTAGTTGCAATACATAATACAGTCACCTGATCTTGCCTATTGTTACATTCAGGAAAATAAAATCCTTCAAGATAGCAAGTATCTCATTTTAATAGGGAGATATAGCGTGCTTCCCTCTTTAGTGCACAATTTTTTAATCTAAATGAAACTAGAGACAGACTAGATTATTTTTATTTTATGACAAAATGAATTATCCTGGATAGTAAACTACGATTTTTAAAAATGCTTATTTTGATTTGTCTCAGAAGCAGACGAAAAGTGCTATGGTAAGCCGGGTGCCAATGGCTGACACTTCTAATCCTAGCTACTGAGGAAACAGCGACCAGGAGGATCATGGTTCAATGCCAGCCCAGGCAAATAGTTCAAGAGACCCTATTTTGAAAAAACTCATCATCAAAAAGGGCTGGTGGAGTGGCTCAAGGTGTAGGCCCTGAGTTCCAAACTCCAGTACCGCAAAAAAAAAAAAAAAAGTGCTGAGGTATTCTATTGGAGAGCTTATATTTATTATACCTAGTAGGTCATAGGATAACATAACTTTTTAAGCTTTTTATTCTTAGGAGAGGAAAAACTAGTGATACTCATCTTCTGCCTGTTAACTTCAAACCGGACGTAGCGCCGGGTTATTGCCTCATACACGTATTCAATGTCGCGTTGAGGAACTTTGTTTTTTTATTAGAACTTTAAATCCTAAATCTGTAGTTGAAATATCTCTGTTTGATTCATTCTTAGGCCCCTAGGTTGCACAGAGAAAATGTCCTAGTCCTAATATGAGGCACATACCACTTTAAGTCACTGCAAAAAATAGGGCAAATTCTTTGCCTAAGTGGCAAGAGCATACTGAATTTTGTACAGAGTTAGATACCTGAGGGGCAAGCGCTTCGTCATCTGCGGATTCTGCAGTGCTTTCAGTGGTGGTTCTGGTAACTGCCCAGAATATTTTCTTGGCTGTTCCTGTGAGGGTTTGAATAGAAAGTCCGATTTACCTCATCCAAGGGTGAGTAAAGAAAGAAATTATGCTCTCTAAAGCACAAGGTAAAAGTATAATTATTTGTGTTTGCATGTTTGCAAATATATTCTTTTGTAAGTATATGCTTGTATTTTCCAGTGTATCAGTTTTAATCATTACATGATCAATCTTGGAACTCTGACATTTACTATCTAGTTATACCCAGTCATCTATAAATAGTACTACCTCTGCCTCGATAATGAATTGTAAATGATTTCTAAAAGTAAACAACTTTCCTAATCCCCTAAAATTGAGTGATCTATTTAGTTCAGTTTTTATTACATTTCAAACCAGTCTGATATTTTGTAGTGCCCCAAACATCTACATTAAAGCAATGTATAAAGAGCCTGTGATCCCATCGTCTTGATGTTAGATAATGTGTTTGGTAAGTGATTGGCAAGGGGGAATATTTAAACCTTGAACTCATAATCTTTGATCTTTTTTCATATCCACAGTGCCTGTCGCAGAGACAACTGCCTCACTGGAGTTAAACACATAAACACAAACCTTGCCCTTTCAAGTCAGATTTTATTCCTGCACTAATTGGCTAAGAACCCAAAAGGACCATATTATTTCTTAAAACCACAATAACTAGTCTTGAGCTAACTTAGAAATTTGCAAAGAAAAGAAGTTGATACACAGCTTCCTCCCCATCACAGGAATCAAGAATAGAACAGGCTCATTTTTCAGCCAGGTTTGCCCTCATCTGTCCTCAAGTTTAAAGATGACCATGCAACACTTCATCTGGCATGAGATGCCTTTCTTTCAGTGCCCTGAAAAGTCTTAGTTTCACAAAGAAAATGTGCAAGCTGGGTGAATGTTGACAGGTCATGAAAGATTCCAACGTATTTTCTTCTGGATTTAGGACAGCCTTGCATTTGAAATTTTCCTATCATTTCAAAAAATAAAGGAGTTTTGCTGCTGTATCTGTTTACTGCTAATTGTGTCAGTGAATTTGTGAGAATGCTTTCAGAAGGAAATCTTTGCTATTTGAAGATGGGTCATTTCTTGTCTCAGTGCTGGATAGCCCAGAGGATCTGGAAAAGAAACGAATCTGCCGCATCATCACCCGTGACTTCCCACAGTACTTTGCAGTGGTGTCCCGCATCAAACAGGACAGCAACCTGATTGGCCCAGAGGGAGGCGTGCTGAGCAGCACAGTGGTGCCCCAGGTGCAGGCTGTCTTTCCAGAGGGCGCCCTAACCAAGCGCATCCGTGTAGGCCTACAGGTATGCCTATGTAGGATGCAAATAGTCCTCACATTCTCATGATCAAAAAATAGCTTTCCAAAGAAATAGAAAGTTAAAGAATCCAATGATTCCTGAGTAAGCAAATGTCACCATTGGAATCTGTAGGTCTCACAAAATTCTTTGAGCGTGCACAGGAACAGTACTAGACTTGTGATGCCAGATTTGAAATCCACCAAATGGATTGGTGAGATAAAAAGCGATGCTTTGGATCAGACATTTGACATTAAATGTAACGATGCATGGTTTAGTTTAATGTTTTTCTTTACTTTGAAAGGCTCAGCCTATGCACAGTGAGCTGGTTAAGAAGATCTTAGGCAACAAAGCTACCTTCAGCCCTATAGTCACTTTGGAACCTAGAAGAAGAAAATTCCACAAACCAATCACCATGACCATTCCAGTCCCCAAAGCTTCAAGCGATGTCATGTTGAATGGTTTTGGGGGAGATGCCCCAACTTTAAGATTACTATGCAGCATAACAGGTGAGTCATGTATAATTGTGTTAGTAGAGAATCCTAAAAGAAGAAACTCAGATATTTGTAGAAATTAAATTACCTTTATCATAAAATGGCTGCGAGGTTATAGGCAGTAAATCAGAAAAAGCATTTTTAATTACCTAGAGAAGGGCAGGTCAAAGGAAATGAACTAACATTTATTAAAGTCTATGTCAAATTTAGATACTTTATTTGTGTTGTCATTTTAATCTTCATAGTAACTCTGTGAGGAAACTGCAATTTGCTGAAAAGGAAACCGAGATTGAAAGAAGGTCTACAACTTGCCTGAGTTATATTGTAAATATTTGGCAGAGTTGAGATTCAGACACCAGCCTGCACACCTACAAATCCAAGGCATTATGGCTTCACTGGAGACTTATAACTTCTGGGGGAGAAATAGCATCTTGAATTATTTTACTTGACAGTCCAAGAAAACTGTTCTGTGTAGGAATTAGTTATGTCTTTATCATTCATTTATGGAACTAACTTTGGAAAAACAAAGTAAGGTTTTAAAACCTCGATCTTTTCAATTGATAATTGTAGTAGCTTTCAGATAACTACAAAGTTCTCAAAAGACGTTCACAAAACACCGGTTTCCTCTTGATAACAATACCTCTGTAAATGGTAAGAGGCAAGGAAAATATATGCTAATAATCTATTTTAAGACTGCATCACTTGAAAGACCGTTTCACCATTTAACAAAAATACATGGTTTGGATCATCAATAAATGTGAATGTGTTCACTTGTAAGAACAGTAACTGTCACTGGTTGTTTTGATATAGTTAGAATTTTTTTTTTAATTTGTCCTTCATATCAGCAGAAGTGTTCATCCTTATTTCTTGACTCTAGTTCTCCCTTCTTATTAGTGCATTTTATGTTCTTAATTACAGAGAACCGTCAAGATGACCCATAATATGACAACATTTAAAAATGTATGGAATAGGATGAGTGGAAGGGGAAATCATTTGCTCTACCTATGATCTCTTTTCCAGTTGCTTATTTCTGATTACCTCTTAGCATTCCTGAATATCTTTCCCATGATTTTTGCTCTGTGGATATATAATGACCCTTCTGTGCTGTGTGGCACAATGACGAGGTTATGAATATGAAGTGGGTGAGACTGGGAATGTCTACAGCATACCCTGCCCTTGTCCTATCAAATGAAGATATCATACAGTCTGTTTATTCCAGTGCTGTGTCTTCAAATGGGCTTTTACTAAATAATACTTTCAATTTAATTAAAATTGTTTGAAAAATTAATAAGTAGATTTATGTATTAGTTTTAAAACTACCTAAATGTTTGGATTTTTGTACTTTGCTATATTGTATAACTGCTAAGACTTACATATTTTAAAAGCTTCTTAGAATAAACTTCCATAACTTTTCCATAAGCTATTTCCTTCTTTAAGAAAATTCAGTATCAAAACTTTTCTTCATTTCAAATGTATTCCTCCTATACACTTTGGCTGTTTTGTCTTCATCTGGAATTTAGTTTCTCGGTAGAATTAAGACAGGTCTTACTCAGCCTTCATGGTGACTTCTTTGCACAAAGTCCATCCTTACCATTCATTCATTTCTTTGTTCCCTCACTCTGCAGTTTTTATTGAGCTCTTAATATTTTTCAAGCATTTCTCTTTTTCCAACCTTCAATTATACATGGAGAGGAAATTTTATTTTTTGAAAATAGTTACATAAAATATGAACGTTCATGAATAAGAGAGTATTTCATTCAGCTCCTTAGTTGGTCAGAGGATATTTTAAAATAATCAGCTGTAGGGATGAACAAACCCCAGGACCACAAAAAAAATGCACAGAGATTAAAATAATCAACTGTATACTATTCAAAATTTTCTTCCAAGCCTAGCAGTTATAATAAAAGCTTCAGGAGGCCAGGCAGAGAACATGACACTTAGTAGAGAGTTACTCAAATAACTGTCCTTAAGTTTAGTTTCCTGGATGGCGGTATTACACTGGTGAACACAATGGGAACCACGTGCTTTATGTTACAACCCAGAGCCTGGAGTTTTGCCTAACTTTCATCTACAATTGTGTTATTTCAGGTGGAACCACCCCTGCACAGTGGGAAGACATCACAGGAACCACACCACTAACTTTTGTCAATGAATGCGTTTCCTTTACGACCAATGTGTCTGCCAGGTACGCCCGTGCAGCACAGACCCTTCCTCCCCAAGTTGTTTTGGTTGCTATTGTTTTATTTTGTTTCCTAATTCTTTAAAAGTGGTTTTAGTTTGATTTCAAGTCAGGTCTACATTTACTTTCGCATTTTAGACTAAACTGCCAGGAAATATAATAGTGACAACACAGCAAAGTCCCATCAGTCAGATTAACATGTAAGGAAAATGAGTGCCTGTCTGCTTTGGCTCTATGATTCTGAATCTGACTCTAACAGTCATCACTAAGACCTCCGGGTCTTAGGAATGAGAAATTTCCTGTTGTCAACAAAATAGCCTGAATTGCTTTTTCAACAGAATAACAATAACAAAACTCCATCATGGTTTGCTTAATTAGCTTAGAGGTTTTGCTGCCTCTTATACATCCTAACATATTTGCATATTACCCATTTGTGCATTACCTCTTTAAAAAGCTGATGCTATCTAGTTTTATTTTGTGTCACACATTGCCTCAGATTTTAAACATAAATTCCCATTTGTATTGTCTTTAACTGAATGCCTTATGAGCATCTTCATGTTTTTAGATTGGATATTGCAATAACTTTGTGACTCAAGTATAGTAAAAGTGTGTCCATTTTACAGATGAGAAAACTGAAGTCAAGAGTAGTTAAAACATAAATTCCTATGGGGCAGGGAAGAAAGGATAAAAATCCATGAAGAGTTAAGGAACAGTGAGCAACAATTGCAGGGTATGTTGACACAGTGTGTAGTTTCTCACCCACGGGGTTCAACTTCTGAGTCTGCAGTTCTGTGCTTCCGGGTCTTCTGCCAGTCATGCCTCTACTTTCTATTGCAGAAGATGACAAGTTCTGGATGAGAAGTAGACCAGATGTACTGAGAAAATTAACAAGAATGTTTAGAAGAGTTGAGTTGTGAGATATATGTCATGACAGATAAAATTGGAAAAGAGAGTAACAAGCAAAGATGCAAGGACAGAAGGCAGAAGGCATATTGGAGACAGCAGCACTGATCCATGGAATCTATAATTCACAAATAATGTTTGAGTGTTGATTGGTGACACTATTTATGTGTTTATAGAAGGCTTTGTAGGGTAAAGAAGTGAAGTGTCACCATAAATATATGCAATTTGTACTTGTTAATTAAAAAATATTAAAAAAACCTCAGAGCTACTCACAAATAAAAATACTACAAAGAGAAAATAAAAATTAAAATAGGTGCAGTAAAAAATAAACTAATTTGAGAGAATATGTGAAAAATAATTATATAAAATCCAACCAGTTAAATACCACAAAAAATCATTGTGTTATTATACAAATAATTTACCTTGCAAACAGTAAAAATCAGTGACTGAAAGTGTAGTTGGATCAAGAAAAACTAATTTTGAGTGATCCAAGAACTATGTGGAATCTTAAAAAACCCTATGCTAATTAACATTCATAGAGACAAAATAGAATAGCCATACTGGGGGCTGCAGTGAGGGGTATGAGGAGCTTTTGTTTTAATATGTACAGTTTCTGTTTTGCATGAGAAAGAATTTCTGGAAGTGGAGAGTGATAATGAAAAGTACAACACTGAAAATGTACTTAGTGGTACTGAATTATACTCTTAAAAGTGGTTAAGATGCCCGGATGTGATGGTGCTTACCTACAGTGGCCGGATGTGATGGTGCTTACCTACAATGCCAGCACTCAGGATGCTGGGGCAGAAGGATTATGAGTTTGAGGCCAGCCTGGGCTATGTAGAAAGATCCTGTTTCAAACACAAACAAACAAACACACACAGATCAAGAGCAAATATTCAATGAAGACTGCAGCACACAAATAAACATTAAAACTCAACCTTCTAAAACTAATGACATAACCAATAAAATACCACTTAGAGTGGTTAAAATGGTCAACTTTGCTGTGTATATTTTACCACAATGTCAAAGAGAGAGAGAAAGATCAGGAATCTGAAAGAAAGAGAGGCTAAGTGGATAAGGAAACCTCAGAATGTTTAAAGAGTGTAGGAAATGAGCCGGTGGTAGGAGAGTAACTTTTGGAAGTATACAAATGGCAAATTGGAAAGATGTCCATCTGATGACTCTACCTTCTCCATGCAGTTATCTTTCTTATAGGCTTTGGTGAAGATGGAGTTTACAGAATGTCACAAAGGTTTAGCAACCTTCCTGTACTGAGAAAAAATGGCATCCAAACAAAAAGTTGCCAAATATGACCACAGATTTAGTTGAGTCTGGAAGTCATTCATTCATAATTTATTCTATGCATTATATGCAGAAATACTTAAGAATTCTGGAGCAGTCTTTTTAAATGATTGATTGACCCATTCTTGGTGACTGAAGAATTCTTTGGAAAAGAGCAGTGCAGTAAGGAAACGCTGGGTAAATATTATTGAAAAGCTTCAGGAAACGAAATAAAGAATAGAAAGAAGGTAGAGTCAAGGAAAATAGAAACTCATTTAGAAAGATCCCTGTCATACTATCTGATACTGGGCTTATACCACTAAAAGATTTTAAAACACTGAAGATGTATTTCAGAAGACTGGATATACAGAACGGCTTCCAAGGAAGAAAAACAGAGATACACTATTCAACAGTTGATCTTTTTAAAACCTGGCTTATCTTTCTTCTTCTCTCCCTTCTACTTTCCCATTTATCCTACCACCTTCCCTCATATACCGGTCTTTCTTTCCCTTTCCTCAAACTTCCTGTCATAATTTCTCTTTCTCACTTCCTTCTTTTTCCAAGAAATATGTGATGACAACATTGGTCATATTGAAGGAACTGATTTTTTAACTGGTATTCTTTAAACTTTAGATAATTGATTCTATTTCTGTTAATAGGTTCTGGCTGATAGATTGTCGACAGATCCAAGAATCCGTTACCTTTGCATCACAGGTGTATAGAGAAATTATTTGTGTACCCTATATGGCCAAATTTGTAGTATTTGCCAAATCACATGACCCCATTGAAGCCAGGTTGAGATGCTTCTGTATGACTGATGATAAAGTGGACAAAACCCTTGAACAACAAGAAAACTTTTCTGAGGTGGCCAGGAGCAGGGATGTAGAGGTACTGTATCAAATACACATATATGCTATACTCTTCTACCTTTATTATTAGATTATGTTTCAAACAAAATGCAATATGTAGAGTTATAAGAAAAAGAAAGACTAGTCCACATCTGGTATTAGTTTCAAGGTCAAGATCCAAAATTAGTCATTTTAACCAGCTTGGACCTATTCTATGGAAATAATCTGTGTATGTGAGTATATAAAGGGATTTATCTAAAGAACATTTTGAGGGACTGGGATGTGACGTAAGTGGTAGAGCACTTTCCTAGCAATATTCAAAAGAAAATTTGAATTTTCCAAGCCCTGAGTTCAAGTCCCAGTACCAGAGACAGAGAGAGAGAGAAATTGAGATTATTTGGAGGAAAACTATGAGTTATTAATAAACTTAAAGTATGTAAAGGACTGTAGCAATTTAAATGTTTTAGCTTTCTTGGCAGTTCTTTTACTGTAATTTTTTAATAATAAAGAAAACAATCTGGGAAGTACTATCTTTCGAGTTGATGTTGGAAGAGGATATCAGTGATTTTCTACATTACTTTTTTTGCATCAGTGTAGACCTTTGGATATTGAAATGCAGTAATCTGACTCATTGTGATGTCAAAAGTTACCCAACATGAATTTTACATTTAGGAATTAAGCATGTATTGGCTTTTGTGTGGTTACATGATCCAGAGTTAGAAATGAGGCTAGTAAATGCTTCCATGCACTTGAAGACTCATACTTGTACAAGGAGGGAATAAAGGTGCGTGCTTTGTCCCAGACAAGACAAGAAGTCAGATGGCAATGGAAATTTCCAAGTAGACCCACCACTTCTGTGTGTAAATGGCAAGTTCTAATCACAGCTATTTTGTGCTGCGTTTTCACTTAGGTGTTAGAAGGAAAACCCATCTATGTTGACTGTTTTGGCAACTTGGTGCCATTAACCAAGAGTGGCCAGCATCATATATTCAGCTTTTTTGCCTTCAAAGAAAACAGACTTCCTCTCTTTGTCAAGGTATGTGTACATGGAATTTTTTCATGAATTTTATTTAAGATCAAGGAAGGATTTGAGTTCCTTTCATAGTGGAGAGTAATTGCTTTTCAGTCATTTCCAGTGGTTTTTCAAACCATATCTGTAAAATTCTACAGTCCTGAAAAAACCCAAACATCTTTATTTTTGAAGTTCTAGGTCAACCTTTAGTTATAGACTTGTTCAAGGAGAACAAAGACAGATTATGATCAGTCTATTAACTAGAAACACATTTGATGGGAAGTTTGCTTTATAATTATTATTATTACTTTTACATGTTTTTTGCTTAGGTTTTAAAAATATGTGTGGATTTCAACAAGTGTGGAGACCAAAAGAGCTCTGATAACTTTTTATAATGAAATTTCTCAAAAGACCCAGGAGCTCCTTAGGCTAATAAGAAATTAATCCAGATAGAGGTACAGACTTGATATACTTTCATAAATGTATTTAATGAACATTTCTGAGACATATCAATGCACCATGAATTTGTTGTCTCTGTTTAGGAATATCAATCCAAGTTAGGTGTTTAGCATTTACATATAGAAGTTTCATTCTAGATTCTAATTCTAAAGAGGACTACGAATGTATGAATGAGCTATTCATGAAATCAAAGGGAAATAATGATTCTACTCTGTTTCCTGTTTCTCGCAGTTTATTTCATTAGTCTAGAGGTCCTAGTTTCCTGTCCTCCCAACAAGGCATAAGTTGGCCTCCATCGGTTTTTCCCTAGTCCTTCTTCAAGCTACAGATTCCCAAACCACTCATCAGCAAATATTCCTTTTATCATTTTAACGACTCATTATTTTCCAAGCATGAGTCTACAAACTCATTTTATTAAGTTTTCCCAAGATCTTTAAAGATTATTTCACTGTGCTATTTCTAGTTGAGTGGTTTTGCCTGAGAACTAATAGGTCCTTACAAATCACCACATTAAACAGTAACTGCTGAGTGGTAATGGATCCATGTATATAGACAGCTGTATAACTAAGCTAATATTTGATATGAATGTGAAAAAGTCATTCTACAAGTAACCCCATACAAAAGTTGGCAAAGTATCCCAATAGACATTTGTCCAAAGATGATGTAACAATGGCTAATGAGCACAAGAAAAGATGCTCAATAGCTTTGGAACTTACACATCAAAAGCACAATGAGATATCACGTCATACCCATTAGAATGGCTTTGATTAAATGAATAAATAAATACAAGATAAATGAATGTTGGCAAGTTAGGACCCTTTTACACTGCTGGTGGGAATGTAAAGTAATGCAGCCACTGTAAACAGCATGATATTTTCTCAACGCATTAAATATAGAATTTACATATGATCTAGTAATTTCACTTCTAGGCATACACCCAAAAGGACTCAGAGTAACTTACACGCTAGTGTGCTTTGCAAGATTTTCCACAATGGCCAAAAGATGGGAACAGCCCATTGACAAATGAATAGACAAACAAAAGGTGACACATATAATGGAATACTAGTCAGCATTAAAAAGGAATGAAATTCTGACACATGCTACAGTATGCATGACCTTTGAATATACATGCCAGACACCAAAGGACAAATATTGTGTGATTCCATTTATATGTGGTGCCTAGGGTAACCAAATTCATGAAGACAGAAAATAGAAGGGAAGTCAGGTACTGTGAAGAGTGAAGTCACATGTATATAGCATGTGTCACGTGCTATAATCTCAGCACTCCAGAGGCTGAGGTAGGGGAATCGTGAGTTTAAGGTCAGCCTGAGCTACATAGCAAGAACCAGTCTTGAAAAACAAACAAACAAACAAACAAACAAAAAACCCCTCAAAACAAACAAACAAAAACAAAGAAAATAGAAGGGCAGCTACTACGGGCATGGAGTTTCAGTTTGGGAAGATGGATGCGTTCTGAATGAAGATGATGGTAGTGATGGCTGTACAATGATGCAAATGTACTGAATACCACTGAATTTTATACCTAAAATGGTTAAAATGATATGTTTATGTTATGAATATTTTACCATAATAAAAACAAGCGGATGAAATTCTGATACTTCCGTGTGGACGAACCCTGAAAACATGATGCTGAGCAAATAAAACAGTGCACAATTCCCCTTAGACAAGGAACCTGGGATGGACAAATTCACAGAGACAGAGAGTAGAATAGAAGTTATCCGGCTGGTGGGGTGGGCAGTTGTGTAATGGGTACAATTTCAGTTTGGGGTGATGATTGCACAACTTTATGAAGGTGCTTCTTGCCATTGAATTGTACACCCAAAATAGTGGAAAAGCACATTTCATGATATGCTTTTTTTTCAAAAAGCTATGTAAGTTCTGGAGCTCTCACATGTAGCATGATGACTATAATTAATAATTTTTGTATATTTGAAATTTACCAGAGAGATTTTAAGTGTTCTCACCATATGCAAAAAGGGAAAGAAGAATTATGAGGCAATAGGTATATTAACTAGCTCGGTCACACTAATCATTTCATAGGGTTTACCTATATCAAATCATGACATTATATACCTTAAACAGTATACATATATATATAATATTATATATATAATTTTTATTTGTCAATCAGACCTCAAAATAATAAAGCTAAAATAGTGTAATGACATCTTAAAGTCATCACAAGCTAATTTGAAAAGAGAAAAGGAAGACCTTAGAATCCTAATCCAGCATTGACAAATGATATTTTATTTTTCTCCCTTAAATATCACCTGATTAAAATAGCAAGTATATGTCAAATGTGGATGAAGCAGGTATGTCTTTCTTGTTGAAGGTACGTGATACAACTCAGGAACCTTGCGGACGACTATCATTTATGAAAGAGCCAAAATCCACGAGAGGCCTGGTGCATCAAGCTATATGCAACTTAAACATCACCCTGCCGATTTACACAAAGGTATTGTAAAATCTGCTATTGTGCAATTCAGGCATTTCTTTCAACTCCTTTAAATTGAAGCAAAACAAAGATGCTGAATGCAAGTATTTTTGGTACCCTGTTGAAATTACAATTTTCCACTCAAGTAATAAAAAAAAGCAATTCCATCTTTTTTTTCCATGAAATGTACTTTGGTGGAAAATTTTTATTAATGTATATTGAACATGAAAAAGAATTTTTTATAGTTTTCAACTAATGTTTTAAAATAAAATAATTTGCTTTGTCTTCCTGTTGCTTTTATGTGCTCTCTTGAGACCATACAAATATGTTTTGCTCTGCTAAAATGTTAGAGTTCATTAGTTTCTGCTCACTATATATTTAACATCCTGAGTCTTGACTCCACAAAACAAGGAATTTTCTATACTTCTTTTGCCTTATCATGGCTGTCAAATTGTGTATTTTGCTTAATAATTATTCTTATAAATAGAGATCAGTCACAAAGAGGAAAGCTCATAGCATCATGTTTGACATTGAAAATTATTACTAATGATTACAAAGGAAATGAAATATCTAGCTATAAAACCTGCATGATATATGCATGATATATATATTTGGGTTGGTATACCAACCCAAATGAGTGCAGTGTAATTGTACTCCCTTCACAAAGAAAATTCTTTGGGGTTTGTAATGCCAATTATTGGTGAGTCACCAGAGACAAAATGCCAAATAAGAACTACAAAGAAATATGTGTAGGCCACCTGAGTGATATATGAAGATGAATGAACTTTGACTGGTTTCAGGGAGCTTTAAATATGCTATAAAAAGAGAGTGTTTACATTATTTTACATCTTCTTTCTAAGTCATGACAGCTATTAATGCTGTGATGGTCAAGGATAATTTTCTGTTTAGTAACTCAAAATAAAGAGAAGAAAATGCCAAATATTACATATGTAAGATATGCTTTGGAGTTTAATAATTCTTTATTATACTAAGACTCCTACATTCTGCTTGTGTATTGAATTTTTTTTTTTACCATATGCTTATGTGTAGTTTTTAACCTTTTTAATCAATATCTGTAATGACTGGGATATCATCACTATTTCTCTTGACAAATGCCATTGAACTCATTAATGTCAAACTTTAAGTCTGCTGGTGACCCAGCAGCTGAAATCAGTATATTTATATTTCTGGCTCATTGGTCTCTTGATTGTATAGACTTTAATCAATCCTCTTTATGTATTTATTTATTTATTTGCCTGACTTCTATAAACTTTTAGTAAAAAAAAAAATCAGTATGCTGACTGATGTGCCTGTGGATGTTTGTTGGCAGAGGGTTTGCTCTTTTCTTTTCTTCTAAATATTCTACCCTTCCTTCTTTCTTTTTTCCATCTTGCGTGGCATGTTGGGGCGGCAAGGAATCAGAGTCAGATCAAGAGCAGGAGGAAGAGGTAATTTTATGACAGTGTCACTTGTTAATGGCTGTATCATTGCTGTAATCACTAGTAAGAGCACAGGATTAACCTGTGTTCTTAGAAAGGGTAGACAGATACTCTTAGTAATTAAAGGGGCAGAATTTTGTTCAACCTCTTTGAATCTGTTTTTTCATCTTGTGGGCTGACTTCAGAGTAGTAAAGTTTCCCTGTACATTTTAGCCATTTCTCTATATGCAGTGATAAATATGTCCACCAATACTGAAGACTAAGCCATTGTCTCAGCATTCTCAAAAGTTAGTCTGAAGATACCTGGGCATCAAAACTCTTTTTAGCATAGTACTAAGACATTATTTGCCATTCGAACTCCCGTACTCTCACAAGTCACAGAGGAGTTTTCCAGAGTCTGTAACGTGTGATGGCATTGCTCTGAGACTCTGTGTGTGCTTGTGTATTCTGGGTTCTAGTATTTCTCTCAGCTTTAATTTGTGATGCAGAGATTTATTTCTGCATATCTTCCAGATGGCATGGGCTCTTCAGTAACTTTTAGGAGTGTAAAATGGTCCTAAAACCAAAGAATTTGAGAATCAGTGACACCAAAAACCTTTCAGGAGCATCTAGTCCATCCATTAGGCTGTAATAATAGTGTACTGAAGAACTGTACTACTAATAAGCATTTCTCTAAAGTACCAAGAATAGTCTTTACTAAGTGGTCTACCCGCTTCATCAGTACAGATCTCTCTGAACCACCCTGTGAGGTGTTGCCATGACACCACAGAGGAAGAAAACAAGTCCTGGAGAGGTTACCGCAAATAAATAGTCATTCAAATTATATCTGCTTCAATATTTAAAGTGAATATGTGTTTCTATCCCTGATAGAGACCCAATACTCCCAAATATTATAGCAGAAATGAAAGAAATCATTGAAAAACTCTTTATATTTGCCTATTAACATACCAACTATTATTTCTAAGCCAAAGATAAGTATTATTAGCTACATGTATTTTTGAATATACTAGTAGATTTTTTTGTTTTTGAGGTACGGGAGTTTGAGCTCAAGCCCTTGTACTTGCAAGGCAGGTACTCTACCACTTGAGCCATGCCTCTAGTCCATAAATACACTATTGTTTCAAAAATGTTATTCTGATTCATTGAAATATAAGAGCATAAAGAAATATATAATAAATATTCTGAGCCCACTAGTTTAAAATGTAAGGACTTAGTAAGAGGATTGCCTTCCTCTCTTTTTTTTCCTGGTGTTTTCGTGGAGGAGCAGGATAAGTGGGGAGATCCTAGACTCATTGTCCTGCCATTTACAGCCACACACCATCAACCGATGACAAAACTGAAGCCACTCTTTCCGTTGTCAATCACTGTCACATAGTCAGTTTCCTTCCTGTACTCCACAACCCTGTCACCATCATGGTATAAAGGGACATCTACACACATTCTTTAAAAAGTGATAAAACCATGAAGCCAACTCTGCTATGCACACAAGTGAACTTTTCCCACTGGATGTGTGACTTTTCTGTTGAATACTTTTGAGCACTATTCAGGGCAATAGAGCTGACTGATACTCTTTTCAGGTTTTGGAATGCTAGCTTGTTGTTAAAAACAACAGAACTTCTGAGAAGTGTATCACCTAGCATGCTGCTTATCATTCTTGTCTGTTTCTCCACTAAATTGACACTTACGTTATAATACTGATTCCACTTTTTTCTAATATGTCACATCAAACACATCCTAGGTGGTATCTCCCTGGGGATGACATGTTAGAAAGGATTTCTCACCTGTATTGTCTAGAAGAGATTTTTTTTCAAAATTCAGAATCACTGGGACTCAGGACAAAAGTGTCACAGATGACTCTGCATTTCCTCTAACCTGTGGTGTCTGTCACCTCCACCTATAGAGTTACAAAGAGGTATTTATTGTGAATATCAGGGACTTTGAGCCAAGACGCTATGGTAACCATGCAATTTATGTTATGTTTTCTTTCAGATCGATATGACATCAGAAAAAAGTAAGATTTTAAATAAAATTGAGTTTGTTTGAAAGCTGGCTATAACAAAAAGAAGCATGAATTAAGATGCAAGCTAGTTGCCATTACTAACCACTATAATAATTATATTTTATATTGTCCTTATTAATCATTAATATATATTTATGAAAGCAGCTTGGCCAGTTAAATTTACAAATATGTCTAATTTGTGAGCTAATTAGCAGTAAAATGCAACAGTAATTCATCTAAGCATTCACTTTCTTTTGACATCCCTGTTAACCCCAGTATTGCTGTTTTGCTTGTTTAGAAAGCCACCCTACCGTTTTGTCCACCTGTTAGCATAACATTGTCATCTCATAATTTTTAAGCACTGACATGACAGTATCACTTTTTATTGAAAACAACAATTCCTTTTTTTTTGTGGTAGGAAGTCCCTGCAAAAGTGATACTGTCTAATAGTTCTTAGCTGAAGCTAACGCCCTACCCCAACCCTCCCCTTGCACTCCTTACTGTGGTGAAGTGTAACTCAAGTCTTTAGGTTGAGCCTAACAGGCTTTTGTGAAAACTTTCTGAAAAAAGAAAAAAGAAGTGCAACTAGGAGCCAAGAATGCAAAGTTAAAACCTCCTGGATGAGATTACCAATCACAATGCTAGTGTTCCCCTATAACATATATATACATCCCTTATAGGGGATAGTTTTAAATAGTCATGCAAAAATCCTAAACTGATCTAGTACAAGAGCACTGGTTTTTACAGACCTTAAAAAAAGCATATATTAGAATTCATTTCAGGTTTGTAATGTTCAATTGATATTTTAATTTATTGGCCAATTCCCAGTGACTCTGGTTTCTTGTGTGCAGCTTCAAGTTGACTTGCATACGTTGCTCCCTTTTATGTCCCAAATGCATTAGAAAAAATTCTAACATTAAATATTTATTAACTTTTAAGATTTATTTTGATTTACTGTATTTTGAGGTGATATTCCAGGAAGGCAAAAATTTACAGCCATGTTTAATATGGTCATTGGGCCCTGTATCTGTGGGATTTTCTTTTTAAGTTCTAGCACAATTTACTGTTACATTATTGGAATGGCTTTAATTGAGGCTTATCCTCATGTTACTTCAATATTCAGAATTAAAGTATTTGAAATTCTGGATGTGTTCACTAGTTTACGTAACTGAACAAATCTGCATTAATATAAATTTATTTTAATACATTTTGCATATTCATATTCACATAGTATCTCACCTCAACAAAAAAGAAAAGGCACTTTTGTTTAAATGACATCATTTTTGCCTTCATTGATTCTTATTTTTGAGTACATTTATTTTTTTCTCTTCTTTAGGACTACTAAGTTTACTCATATTTGCTACTACGTTTACTTAAATACCCTCACCTTTGCGTCTGTGTACAAATTAAGAGGAATTATAATTTTATTCATCTAGCTCAGTTGTTTAAAAAAAAAAGAAGAGAAAAGATATTACCAAGTGGCTATAATACCATAGCTTTCTTGTGAATGAGTCCTAGATGTTGGGAACGTTTTGTAATTTTCAGATACAGAGTCACATTTGCCTTTGTTTTAGTTTAAAGACAATTATTAAATAATCTTCAGTAGATATACAATAATCTCCAAAGATGATCTCTGATGATGGAACTTTTTCCTAAGTTATTTTTATGAGTAAATATTAAAAATCTCCCTCCTTTACTCTAATGGCTGTAGGGTCCCACAACCTGAGCCTCAAATACATGACATTCTCTGTCTTCTGTCCAGACTCCTAGGGAGCTAAACAGTCTTCACCACAGTAATGTTTTACATAGTCATTCTAATTTCTCACTATCCTCCTGCCTGTACTTCTCTGCAAGGCTGCCTCTCCCAGCAGTTTTACCCTACCTTTGCTTTGCATGGAAATAACTTGGCTTACATAAACTGTGCGTGTGTCCTGTGTGATTGTCTCTGATTTGGGTTGCTATGCATCACATTTTAACTCTGGACTCACATGTATGTTTAATCACAGTTGTGGCTTCTGTTGTTTTTCTTTCCTTTCCTTTCTTTCCCTCCTTGGTCTGTCTCTTAGTGTCTATACAAGGAGGTTCCTCCAAGGAAAGGACCATGCCTCTAAGCCTAAGACTGTTTGTTTCATTGTTAGGTGTGACTTTTCCTTACATGAAATGCCAGATGGCAGCTGATTCAGGCAGCCTCTCTACCATCATTGTATATTGGCAGGACTAAACTTACTGAATTCCAGATTTATGTCATTAAAAAATGTATACACATGATTAGCTGTTATTCTGAGTTTGCTGCTACTGGCTTTCTCCTGAAGGAAATCAATGTTTTGCAATTTTTAATGCTCTTTTTTCTTTTTTTTTTTCCCATGGTTTTTTGTTTTTTCCAACATTGATCTTTAACATCTGAACAATCTTGAGATACCTCTGTGTAATTTCACTGCGTTCTTTGTTTTGATTTGTGATGGTTTTTTCGTATATGTCTTGATTATTTGTGATAGCTTTGTTGTATGTGTGGATGTGCTACAAGTGAGAAAATTAAGCAAGTTATTTCCTGCTCATTTTTCCTTTTCAGTTTTTTTTCCGTTAGCCTTGCTTTGCTCTTGTACCCCGAGACCCTGTGGATCCACCATTCCCAGCCCATTCTGTTGCCCTTCCCACCACGAACAGGAAAAGACGCTGTGTCCTTTCGGTCCTGATTACATTTGCCAATATCTTTTTTGATTTCCATTTTACTTTCAATGTTTTTCATTCACATCAAAGATGATGAGACAGAATCTACAGAAACATCTGTCCTGAAAAGTCACCTGGTTAATGAAGTTCCTGTCCTGGCAAGTCCAGACTTGCTCTCTGAAGTTTCTGAGATGAAACAAGACTTGATCAAAATGACCGCCATCTTGACCACAGATGTGTCTGATAAGGCAGGTTCTATTAAAGTGAAGGAGCTGGTGAAGGCTGCTGAGGAGGAGCCAGGCGAGCCCTTTGAAATCGTTGAAAGAGTTAAAGAGGACTTAGAGAAGGTGAATGAAATCCTGAGAAGTGGCACCTGCTCCAGAGATGAAGGCAGGGCACACAGCTGTCAGTCTGAGAGAGAACTAGTGGAAGAAGAATGGGTTATTGTCAGTGAGGAGGAAATAGAAGAGGCTAAGCAAAAAGCACCCTTAGAAATCCCGGATTACCCATGCATAGAAGTTAGACTAGATAAAGGGACAAAAGTCAAGGCAGAGAAAGACGCCACTGGGCTACTGAACTATCTTACCGAGGACCTAAACTCATATGTGCCTCCTCCTGAACAGAAGCCACAGGTAGTTCTAGATACGGCAGGGAAGACAAGTGAGGCTTCAGCTCTTAGCAAAAGCTCAGAAAAGGAAGGGAAGGGTACATCCCCAGGGGACAAACAGACTCCCCAGAAACAGCCCAAACCAAGCCTGGGAATAAAGAAGCCAGTGAGAAGGAAATTAAAAGAAAAGCAGAAACAAAAAGAGGAAAGTCCACCAGCGAGCGAAGAAAAAGCTGAACTTAAAAAAGGGAGTTCAGAAGAGTCGTTAGAGGAAGACCCAGGTCTAGTTCCTGAACCTCTTCCCACTGTCAAGGCCACCTCTCCTCTGATAGAAGAAACTCCTATTGGTTCCATAAAGGATAAAGTGAAGGCTCTTCAGAAGCGAGTAGAAGATGAACAGAAGGGGCGAAGCAAGTTGCCTGTAAGGGTCAAAGGCAAAGAGGATGTGCCGAAAAAGGCCACTCACAGGACGCAGCCAGCCACATCACCCTCTTTGAAGTCAGAGAGGCATGTGCCAGTGTCACCTTCCTCTAAAACAGAAAGACACTCTTCTCTGTCCTCATCTGCAAAACCTGAAAGGCACACTCCACTTTCACCATCGAATAAACCTGAGAAACACTCACCTGTGTCACCCTCTGCAAAAACCGAAAGACATTCCCCTGTGTTGTCAAGTAAACCTGAGAAACACTCACCTGTGTCACCTTCGACAAAAACTGAAAGACACTCCCCTGTGTCATCTACAAAAACAGAACGACACCCACCTGTTTCACCTTCAGGCAAAGCAGACAAACGCCCACCTGTACCCCCTTCCAGTAAAACAGAGAAGCATCCTGCAGTGTCACCTGGGAGAACAGAAAAACGCTTGCCTGTTTCACCTTCTGGAAGGACAGAAAAGCACCCACCTGTGTCAACCACTGGGAAAACTGAGAAGCATCTGTCAGTGTCACCCTCTGGGAAAACAGAAAAGCAACCACCTGTATCCCCCACCTCAAAAACAGAAAGAATTGAGGAAACCATGTCTGTTCGGGAGTTGATGAAGGCCTTCCAGTCAGGTCAGGACCCATCTAAACATAAAACTGGACTCTTTGAGCACAAATCAGTAAAACAAAAGCAGTCACAAGAAAAAGGTAAAGCTCGGGTGGAGAAAGAAAAGGGGCAGACAGTAACCCAGAGAGAAACACAGAGAATAGAGAGTCAGACAATCAAACGTGGCCAGAGATTCCTGGTAACAGGGATTTCTGAATCCAGAAGAGGGGTCCGTGCTTCCTCCATAGGGCTTAAGAGAGAAGAGGCAGTTGGAGAAAAGGAAAAAGCTCCCAGCCTCAAAACACCTGAAACTATTCAGTCAGCCTCTGAAGAAGAAAACCTCAAAGACAGTGAAATCTTCGAAGAAAAAGTGACTGATGAACAGGGAGACATGGACCTCCAGATCAGCCCGGACAGGAAGACCTCCACTGACTTTTCTGAAGTCATTAAACAAGAGTTAGAAAACAATGACAAATACCAACAATTCTGCTTGAGTGAAGAGACTGAAAAGGCACAGCTTCACTTAGATCAAGTTCTCACGAGTCCCTTCAACACAGCATTTCCACTAGATTACATGAAAGATGACTTCCTCCCAGCTCTGTCTCGCCAGAGTGGTGCTTTGAACGGCAGTTCTGAAAGCCTAAAGCAGGAAGGGATAGCAGGCTCTCCCTGCGGTAGCCTGATGGAGGGGACCCCTCAGGTTAGTTCAGAAGAGAGCTATAAGCATGAGGGCCTAGCAGAAACCCCTGAAACAAGCCCAGAAAGCCTTTCTTTCTCACCAAAGAAAAGTAAGGAGCAAATTGAGGAGGCAAAGGAAACCACCAAGGTGGAAACACCCACTGAAATTCATTCAGAGAAAGAGCATCCTGCAGCCAGAGACATTACTGATGGTTCTGAAGAGCCAGGTGCTGTGGCCACTGAGGGCTCAGAGCCTGCTGCTGGGTGTTTTCAGAGGGAGACTGCCCCAGACGCTTCCCAAAATGTATGTCCCAAACAAGAAGGTGATTCTCCTGGCAGTTCCAGTGGCTCCTTAGCACAAGAAACCCCCCGGGCATTGACTCAGGAAGCGTCCTGTAGCGAAGGTCAGCTCACACTTGGTAGTTCAGATCCCAGGGCACAAGCTGCTAGGGAGGCTCAGGAATCCACAGCCACCTCAGATGAGACAAAGGCCTCACCCCTGTCTGATGCTTCTATAAAGATGGACACAGGAACCGAACCAAAGCCCCAGGGAGCCATTAGAAGTCCCCAAGGGTTAGAACTTGCACTCCCTAGCCGTGACAGTGAGGTGCTCAGCCCAATGGCCGATGAGTCATTAGCAGTGAGCCACAAAGATTCTCTGGAAGCCAGCCCTGTGTTAGAAGATAATTCCTCACACAAAACTCCTGATTCTCTGGAACCAAGTCCTCTGAAAGAATCCCCTTGCCGGGACTCTCTTGAAAGCAGCCCTGTTGAACCAAAGATGAAGGCAGGAATTCTCCCAAGTCATTTTCCCCTTCCTACAGCTGTTGCCAAAACAGAACTCGTTACAGAAGTGGCTTCCATGCGGTCCCGGCTACTGCGAGACCCTGATGGCAGTGCTGAAGATGATAGTCTTGAGCAGACATCGCTCATGGAGAGCTCAGGGAAAAGTCCCCTTTCTCCAGATACCCCCAGCTCTGAAGAAGTTAGCTACGAGGTCACGCCCAAAGCTACAGATGCAAGTGGACCAAAACCAGCTGTGATTCATGAGTGTGCAGAGGAGGATGACTCAGAAAATGGGGAGAAAAAGAGGTTCACACCCGAAGAGGAAATGTTCAAAATGGTAACCAAAATTAAAATGTTCGATGAACTTGAACAAGAAGCAAAGCAGAAAAGGGACTACAAAAAAGAACCCAAGCAGGAGGAATCTTCTTCGGCCTCTGATCCAGATGCTGACTGTATGGCAGATGGTTCAGCAGATGTGGATGAACCAATACAAATGAAGAACATTGAGGGTGAAAGTGATGCCCTTGGGTTGGTGACTTCAGAGAGCAGAAAGGCTTCTTCCTCCTCAGAAAGTGAGCCTGAGCTGACTCAGCTGAAGAAAGGTGCTGACTCAGGCCTTTTATCAGAACCAGTTATTCGCGTGCAACCTCCTTCCCCACTTCCATCCAGCATAGACTCCAATTCCAGCCCTGAAGAAGTACGGTTCCAGCCTATCGTTTCCAAACAATATACTTTCAAGATGAATGAAGATATTCAGGAAGAGCTAAGTAACTCAGAAGAAGAGAAAGAGTGTGAAGTCCGTTTGACTGAAGACAGTCAGACTATTTCCACTGATGGAGAAGATAGGTCTTGTGATGATCTAAACAGAGACACTAATCCACCAGAAATCTGTAATGGCCATGGCTGTGAGCCTGGGTACCCTAGCTACTCAGCCACTCCTGTTGCCTTAGGTCTCCAGAGTTTGACTGGTGATGATGCTGATGAGCAACTATCTATCTGTAAAGAATCACTGGCTCCCCAAAGCACACATGAAAATGACACAGAAGGAGTAGAGCTGGATGTTTCTAGACTGGAATCCCCACTAGTAGATTGCCCCAGTGAGATCTCTTCTTCTTTGTCCTCCTTGCCTCAGTGTTCAGTATCTGAAGGAAAGGAATTAGATGAAAAAATGTCTTCCACATCTTCCACTACAAATGTGGAGGTCACAAAAACCAACCAAACCTTGGAGAACATACCAAAGGACTGTGCCATGCAAGACTCATCTATTACAACTCCAACAGATGGGCTTTCCATGGACCCTCCAATGTGTGACCCAGCTGAGACTGATGAAATCTATGATCCTCAGATCCCAAGCCCTTATGAAAATGTTCCTTCCCAATCTTTTTTCTCTAGTGAAGAAAGCAAAACCCAAGCAGATATGAGTCACACCACAAGTTTTCACTCTTCTGAAGTGTATTCTGCTCCCATCACATCCTCTGTTGAGGATATAGTAGTGACAAGCTCCTCTAGTAGAACTGTTTCAGGCAAAGAATCAAATTTTGAGAGCCAGAACCTAGAAATAGAATCTAAACAAGAAAATACCTTGTGGGAAATGGAATCAACTACAACAACCTCATCTTTAGAGTCTACTGTACCTAATACACCATCAGTTGTTGGTGAACAAATAAGTAAAGTCATAATCACAAAAACTGATGTGGATTCTGATTCCTGGAGTGAAATTCGTGAAGATGATGAAGCATTTGAGGCACGGGTTAAAGAGGAAGAACAAAAGATATTTGGCTTAATGGTAGACAGACAATCACAGGGCCCTACCCCTGACACTACTCCTGCCAGGACCCCAACTGAAGAGGGGACCCCAACAAGTGAGCAAAATCCATTTCTTTTTCAGGAAGGAAAATTGTTTGAGATGACCCGAAGTGGTGCCATTGATATGACCAAAAGGTCCTATGCAGATGAAAGTTTTCACTTTTTCCAAATTGGTCAAGAATCCAGGGAAGAGACTCTTTCCGCAGACATGAAAGAAGCGGCCACAGGGGTTGAGCCCCCACAGCTGGAGACAACAGCTGAGTCACTAGCACTTTCAGAATCAAAAGAAACACCGGATGATGAAGCAGAGCTGCTTCCAGATGACCTGAGTGAGGAAGCAGAGGAAACACCTGCTTCGGAGGCTCCAACTTCCACTGAAACATCCTTCAAACAGGCGAGTCCTACAGGGGCTGAGGACTTCCCCTCTGTGCAAGTGAGCGATGCACTTTCTCTGTCCAGTATGAAGCAGACACCTTGCCCTGATGCCCCTGAGCCAGTTGTACAAGTTCAGTTAGACTTTTCCACAGTGACCAGGTCTGTATATTCACAGCGGGATGATGACTCTCCCGATTCTTCCCCAGAAGAACAGAAATCAGTGATTGAAATTCCCACTGCACCCATGGAGAACGTGCCTTCTACTGAAAGCAAATCCAAAATTCCTGTAAGGATTATACCCACTTCATCCCCAGCACCTCCATCTGCAGAAGATGAGAGCCCATTTTCTGAGGACCTATCATCCAGTCTAATTGAGGAAAGTGAGGAGGATGAAGCAAAACCAAAGTCCAAAATCCCCGTGAAAGCACCCATCCAAAGAGCCGAGCAGCAGCTCTCACATCTAGACTCGTCTCTCCAGAAGACCATGGCTCCTCAGGGACAGGATACAGCAAGCAGAACATCAGATAACAGAAGCAAATCAGAATCTGATGCCAGTACTTTGGACTCAAAGACCAAATGCCCAGTAAAGGCCAGAAGTTACATTGAGACAGAAGCCGAGAGCAGGGAGAGGTCAGAGGAGCTTGAGTTAGAGTCAGAAGATGAGGCCACAAGACCAAAGATATTTGCCTCCTGTTTGCCAGTTCAGAGCGGAAGCACCACATCTTCCTGCAGGGAAGAAAGTAAGGAGCATTTCTTTGACCTTTACAGAAACTCCATAGAATTCTTTGAGGAGATTAGTGATGAGGCCTCCAAGTTAGTAGATAGACTTACACAGTCAGAAAGGGAGCAGGAATTAGCTTCAGATGATGAAAGTAGTAGTGCCCTGGAAGTTTCAGTTATTGAAAATCTGCCACCTGTTGAGACCGAGCACTCAGTTCCTGAGGACATCTTTGACACAAGGCCCATTTGGGATGAGTCCATTGAGACTCTGATTGAACGCATCCCTGATGAAAATGGCCAGGACCTTGCCGAAGGTATTTGACAGCCACTGGGATTCCCTGTGCTCCGCATGTCATAAATTTGGTAGAGATTTTTTTGTTGTTGTTTTTGTATGTTTGTTTCCTTTGGTGATTTGTGTCTCATTTTCTTTAAGCTTCCTGTAGTGGTTAATGTGTTTGTGTAAGCCCTTTGTGTTTCGTGCTCTTTCTGTATACTCTTGTCTATGAAAACAATCTCAAGATTGAGTAATGAGAATGCTTATGGAACACATGAACATAACCAGGCAATGTGAGTAAGGCCATGCAAGCTTTGAGTTTTGTTGTTCTGAAGGCCCAGGCTTAGCCTCAAAGCAAGCGCCTGTACGTTTGCATATGAATATGTGGGGTTTTAGTTTTAGTATGAGGACTCATTGGTTTCTCTTCTTATCTTTGAACACACTAAATAATTTGTACTTACAATTTTGTGATTATTAGGAAGCCATTTACTCAAGATTTCTCACATCCTGAAATTCCAATTGTTGTGGGTCTGGTTTTAATTCAGAAAGGTTGGATTTCAGATACCATTGGTAAACACTTTAAGCAAACAAACTTAAGGTAAAAATATGTTTTCTGTTTACATGGTAAATGAATGGAGAAGGTGCTCAGCTGAGATACAGCAGACAACAAAAACTCAAACTTTGCACGATTTAAGTTGACTGTGAGGGAATGATGGTTCTTTGAAGTGTAAAAAAGGAAACCATAGATGGCTTTGAGAAGTAGCCTGTGGTCTTCCATTATCTCTACAATGAAGACTATTTTTTCTAAATTTGAATTATACAAAATTTCACTATGCCATCTACAATGCTGCCCATTAAATGAGAGTTAAAAATGAATGGGAAAATTACAGTTCATGAGTGAGGAATGTATGAGTATACTTAGTAGCAAGCAGGCAAAAACTTTGCCCACATGTAACATATGCATGCCATGTGTATGCTTTTATCCTTTCTTATTCCAAGGTCACCTGGTTCAAAGTAAATTTTGTTTCTAGCCACATTGTATGAACCCAAGATGGTTGAATCAATCTGAATCAAATCTCTTGTGAATTTCTGATGTACTTTCTTTTGGACATAACCTAGAAGTGATCTATAAACTTCCACAAACAATAAAAGAAGATCTTAACCAATTATTCTTCTAAATTCCATTTACCGTCTCTCTGGTGTTTCAAGAAAAAAAAAGTATCACCTGGTGGGCAGTATTCTCAGATAATTTAAAAGGAAAGTCCCAAGATGATCAGAAATCAGAAATTTCTATACCTATGTTCAGTAACTAGTCTTGATTAAAGAGATATGGAAGCAGATGGTTTCCATGAGTCATATTTGGATTCATTCCCCATTCCACCCCAGAAATCAGATAAACATGCCAATAATATGATCTACAACATAATAGCTAATTTGTGCTATTATCAAATATTTGGACAAGTGACTTCCATTCTTTGGATGATCAATACTACAATTCCTCTCCTGTCATGGACAACCTTTGGCCATTCTGTTTTTGACCTTCTGTAGATGCAGAGGAGGAGCAGGAACGGATCGAGGAAAGGCTGGCTTATGTGGCCGATCACCTTGGCTTCAGCTGGACAGGTAAGATGAGTGCAACCCATTTTGTTTTAAACAAAACCTCCTTGGTTTAAATGACATAGATAAATCAGTTGGGTGTCATTAACTATGAAAAAGATCTTTTTTCTTCCCTTTGCTTGAGGAAGACTACCTGGAATAGTGAAAAGAATAATACACTATGAACTAGAAAACCAAGCTGTGCGTCAGCTAATGATGTAGCCCATGGAAGGCCTTCATTACTTCTGAAATGTACAATAAATTTAGATTTGAGGATTCTGAGAATATCCAATCTTCACCACCATTCCTTGGCAGTTGTAGATATCTAAGTTTGGGAGAGAATATTGTATTTCAGACTTTGGTTAGATGTAAATTTCATAAAATTTATTTTGAGATTTAACTAAGGCTGCATCTTTAACACGCTGTCTATTAGGTACTAAAATTTCTTCTTTGGGAATGTTGAAACACATATGAATGAGACGTTCCACTAATTTTTTGAGATGGGAGTGCTTAAGTATACAAAATGTATGTTAAGCAATTTATTAGGGGAAAGTGAGTTATAATATCAGTATGGTTTCCGATCATGATTTAAAAATTAAAAAAACCTATACCCTTTCTTTTACCTGTGACTTAACATGTTAACAACACTATTATCTAGCTTGCTTGCTTGCTGGCTTAAAAACAAACCAAAATGCTGTTTTTCTTATATGTGACTTGTGACAACTTTGTTGAGACAAGTAATATAAAGTTAATATTCTTCTTCTTTCAATTTCTTCTAAGATTTGGTGATGAGTAAGAGTTCATAGCATTTTTAAAGATAATCGGTAATTTAGAATGTATGATTGGAAATGTAGGAATAGCTATTCTCTCCCTGTTAGTGGTTTTAAACTAATTATAAATACTGACCAGACTTATTTAATTGAGGGATTTAGAGGAAAGAATGATATCAAGCTATCCCTGGCTGATATATTAGATAGGTAAGATAATTCAGAATGATTTTCCTTAAATATGTATGTATCCATTTATAAATACCAAAAGTATTATGCATAGATTTTATGAAAATTCAAACCTCTCCAGCATACAGAATGATGTAAACTGAAAAGTAAATGTGTATCTTACACCTACTCTGGTCTTCTGGCCCCATGCCTCAAAGGTGACTGCTCACATTTTCTCACATTTTTAGAAAAAAATAGATAATGCCCATATTTATACCTGTTATCTAAAAGTAAGTGACATTGTATTTAATACTCCTTATAAATATTCTATTGCAAGATATACCCATGATATTCATTTAATTCCACTATTTGGAGGCTCTATGATGTTGCTAATAGCCTTTGTTGGTAGATTTTAACTTGTTTCAAGTAAATCTTCTTGTGCATTGGTATATTTTTGTGAGTACATATATTGGGCAGATTCTTAGGAGTAAAATTACTAGACCAAGGATATTTTTCATTTTGAAAGACGTTATCAAATTGACGATAGAAATCACTCATTTTACACACACACACACACACACACAAAACATAATGTATTGGCATCCATTTTGCATGTTACTGGTAGGATTTAAAGGAAATCATTGTAGTTTCTTCCCTGGTCAATTAATACATCCTAGTCCTTTTATTCATGTGACATCAAATCAAGAAATGAGTTTATCCAACTACAATCAGTGTTTATCCAAAGTACCAGAAATAGGATTTAAGTACTTAAAATATCACCTAATTGGGGCATGGTAGTACACACCTATAGTTCTAGCACTCTGGAGACCAAGGCAGGAGGATCATGATCTCAAGGCTGGCCTGGGTTCCATAGCAAGTTCCAGGTCAGTTTGGGCTACAGCATAAGACCCTGTCTCAAAAAGAAAAGTAAATAACTAAATATCCTATAAAAGTATTAAATGGGCTATTTCTCCTATTTTCAGTTGTTTGTTTTCCATTATCTTGGTTGAGCATAAACAATTAATAATGCTCTCATCTACATTTTGGAATCACATTGACTTGAATTATTCATATTTTATCATCACTGTCTCACTCTCTATCTCCAGTGTGACAGTGCTCAATTCTATACCTGGTTTTAAGGGAAAGAACTGTAATTAGCACTAGAAAAACAAATGCATATATGGGTCTCTTCTTATGTGGTGTAGAAATAGCATAAGAAAACCAAATACTCATGGCAATATGAAAGCATGTCACTCATCACATCACAAAGCAAGGTGTGGAGATTCAGACTTTGAAGTCAAGCAATAATTGCTCTTGTAGAATTAGCAAGAGAACTGGACTTCACTGAGGAGCAAATTCACCAAATTCGAATTGAGAACCCCAACTCCCTTCAAGACCAGAGCTACGCACTATTGAAGTACTGGCTGGAGAGGGACGGGAAACACGCCACAGGTAGGTGCTGAACTCTTAAGTAAAAAGTGTAGGACTGAAGGTAGAAAAGTCTTGTTCAACCACCCCATTCTTACAAATTCAGTAAGGTAATAAAATATCAAATGCTACCAATTTGAAGAAGTATTGTCAGTCAGTGAAAACAAGCTACTGTCATTTTTAAAATAAAAATGCATCATGAAAAACATCTTGTACTATATAACTGTAAGCATTGCTATTAGCTAGTGGGAAATGATACCAACTCCACCTGTCAACTGGATGTCATTTAAGACTGAACATTTTCTAAATATTGATATGGACACAATTAGGCTTTCTACTTATTTTTATAATTATAATTGTTTTATAGGTAACAAATTATTCTCAGTTCCTACTTCCTTTACTACTAAATAACTAAGTTGGGGGTAGGTATCAAGTAGTTTTCTATGTGATACTTTATATATGCTATATTCTGATCACATGGAATAAAATGGGAAGTGATCGACCATAGCTGTCATCCCACAGCAAGTCAAAACTTGCCCCTTCCTTTAATGTTTTCCTGAAGATCTGCCTTGTGGTCTGTACACTTACCATTCTTTTTCTCAACATTCTTCTTAGTAGCATTGATATATTTAGCAAGTAAACCAAAAAGGTACCCAGCTGAATTTAAATCCCAGGTACTCAACAAATACTTTTGTGGTATAAGTATGTCCCATGCAATATTTGGGACTTACTTATACCACAAAAAAGTTTAGTTTTTTAATCTGAAATTCAGATCTGCTTGGGTGTCCTGTATGTTATCAGATACCTCTACTTTTAGGACTTGTATCCATGCTATGCCATGTTTATGTGTATATCTTTCTGTTTGCTTCTTTTTTACAGAGACCCTTATTAGGCTTGCCTGATACCTATACAAATACCTAAAATTTCATAAACCAGTTAAATGAAAGGGATTTTTAAAAGAACACCCTCTCGGATGTAATAAATGCTTTTCCTTTAATCTCTCAGATACCAGCCTCATTGAATGCCTCACCAAGATCAACCGAATGGACATTGTTCATCTCATGGAAACCAACACAGAACCTCTCCAGGAGCGCATCAGTCATAGCTATGCAGAAATTGAACAGACCATTACACTGGACCACAGTGAAGGTCAAACAACATGTGTGTTTGGGAGGGGAGGTTAATTGAGGCACCAAACCTACTGCTTCTCTTTTTTTAGAAGGTAGACAATGGCCTTTGATGATCATGCCTTTATTCTTTGTTATCTTGATTTCCCTGCCTGTCTTATAGGACCCCAACTGCTCATTCTTTGTTATTTCACCACACCATGGATGAGCCATCCAGTTCCTTTTCCTCTGTTCCTTGAGGACACTTCTTTGTACTCTATCTAAGTCACAATTTCTAAGCTCACAACCAAGACTATATAATTACAGTAACTGTACTTCTTCTGAGTAGTACACTATATGAAGTATCACACTTACTTCCTCTTAACTTTACGTCAGCAATTCTACAGACCTTTTGGGGCCTCCAGCCATTGGTCCTACTACATTTTTCGTATTAAATCTTCTCTAATTTATTCTCATTCACTTGCATGCTCAAGCTCAATCTCTCTCTCTCTCTCTCTCACTCTCTTCCCCCACTTTCTCCCTCTTCCTTTATATTTTATGCCTTCTCTTCTTCCTTCAAACCTCCAACATGTCTCTTTTCCTTGTTTATTATTTATTCCTGGTTTCATATTTTCTAGAAAAATAGGATTATAAGAAATGTCCATATTCTTTCACTACAAAATCTACCAAGACGAGTGCTCTCTGCGCATATACTCTACCTTACCTCCTATTACACTAGATTAAATTGCCTTGTTTGTCTAAAGCCATTATCTCTTCTTTGAATTTCAACCCTTCTGATCAACCAATCAAGGTCTTCAGTCCTGCAGGTATCCATTCTGGCTTCTAACAACTGGACCATACCCAACAGCATTAAAACATACTTCAATAGGTTCCATGTTTAAAAACAAAACGCATCTCCTTTTCTTTCATATTCCGCTCCTGTTCCTCTCTTTCCCCTGTCTCGAGAACTGTCTCTATAAGCTACTTCAGTTCATCTTAATTGTTTCCTCATTGCTAAATTCATGGACAAATTTCAGTGTTCAGATTACTTCACCTCTTAATATTCAGGCACTGGCCTACTGCTTCTCTTTGTTTAGAAGGTAGACAATGGCCTTTGGTGGTTCATTCCTTGTTATCTCAATTTCCCTGCCTGTTTTACAGCTGCCCCAACTGTTCGTTATTTGTTATTTCACATTTGACACAAACAATTAATCCTTTCTTCTTAAACACTGTCTTCCTTCATTGCCCAGGATACCTCTCCTCATTTTTTTTCTTTCTACTTTACTGGTTATCCTCCTCAGTCTCATTTTCTGTGAATTCTGACTTCTCATAGATTTAATGATGATAAGTATTAATGTGCAATGAAAGTGTCACAGTTTATCCCACCCCTACCTCTCTTTCTCTCTCACTGTCCCCAGAAGCTTAGTCTCCTTGCTGTTTTCTGATACCTCAAGTACTCTGCTGCTGGTACTTTCTGTTCCCTCCACTCTGGAGTGTTCTTCACTCAAGTCAACAGAACCTTTTCCTCTTAATTTCCTAAGGTCACTTCTTAGGTATCACATCCTAAAGGGAGCTTTTCCTGCTTAGTCAATTCAAAACGCTAACCTTATTTACTCTGTATCTTTACTCTGGCTAACTTTTCTCTTAATCTTTAACATGAATATGCATCTGCAGAAACAGAAGCCCAGTAAGGGCAAGTGCTTTTTCTGTCTTGTTGTGTTTATACCCAGCATCTAAACAACACCTATTATATAGTCAATGCTTACATTCCTCATGGGAAAAGCTGTAGGCCCCTGCACCATTATCAGGGTAGAAAAAATAAAGCAGAGAAAGGTCTAGAATTAGAGACTAAAGTTAGGTGTAGTTGTCCAAACCTGCAGTCCCAATGCTCAGGAGACTGAGGCAGGAGGACCATGAGTTCACCTATTTGTTGAGTGAATAAAAAAATAGAAGAATGTCATTTACTCTCCTGCTAAACATCTTTCAGTGATTCCACTCTATTATGGGTATAGTGACATTCTGAAACCTGGCATAAGAGCCTCTACATAAAAAATTTACTAACAAAGGGGGTAATGGTGAGGATAAACCAAGTTAATCTTTACAGAGCACTGAGTAAATATTCAGAACATATTGGCTATTTATTATTATTATTGTTATTGACTCTCACTCTTGTTACCATTAGATTCTGTCTTGACTATCACAGTAGATGCCTGCTTGTCATTAGGTCCTGTTCAGACGTGCCACCTTCTGTACTTCCTCTTCAAATTCTTTATCACTGAGGATTGCACCTCCCACATTCACTGGCTGGCACCTGTGGCCCAGTCACTCTGCATTTGAACAGACTCTTCCCAGTTTGGGTTTCCCTAGGTGATCAGTGCCCTGCAGGCAGGCACAGTGTCTTGTTCATCTTTCTAACCCATGGGCCTATGTCAGGACATTGCACATAGTAATCACTTAATAAATATGTATTTAATATAGACGAGCTTTAATTTAAATTGTTCTCCCCTCAGGGTTCTCAGTACTGCAAGAGGAGCTCTGCACTGCCCGGCACCAGCAGAAGGAAGAACAAGTTGTTCCTAAAGATGGGGAGTCCTGTGATCACCCTCCCATCGTCTCCGAGGAAGACATCTCTGTCGGTTATTCCACTTTTCAGGATTGCATCCCCAAAACCGAGGGTGACAGCTCAGCAACACCACTCTCTCCCGAGATGCACAAAGAGCAAGTCCAACCAGATTTCTCAGGGAAGATGCAAGACCTGCCTGAAGATCAGGAGGAATACTTGTGAGTTCCAAAAGAAAATTGATCAAAAGTGCTTCCAAAGGAATAGCAAATATGGTAGGGGTGCTAGGCATATCCAGATAGGAATAGTTCTAAGTCATTTAAAAATGACCCACCTATAACAAATAGCAGAGCTACCAAAAGAAAAAAGAAAACTAAAACATTTAAGAGGTTTAGTTGTGACAGTGTTGTATGGTGCAGACCTGCTTTGTACTGCTTGAACAGCTCCTCAGTGCTTTGAGGATCTATTTCTTCATCTATAAATTTTGATAATTATGTTCAGGTTCCTCATTTCACAAGATCAAAAGTCAAAGGTAGGCCTGCAAGTACATTATTTGACATGTAAAATTTCATGTAGACAACACAGTTATTACTCATAGAACTACTGTACTTCATTTGCTCAGTAATGCTTCCAGCCCATACCTAAAGCTAACTATAGGACTATAACTGCAATACAAATTATTCACACAGAATAACAGACCATTCAAAAGAGGTGGGATGGGGTTAGAGAAAGAATGAGGAGGAAATTTCTAGATAGCTTCTGACTAAAGGTAGCTACAGAGCACAGTTTAGCTCAGAACTTGACCTAGGCTTTATGGAAACAAAGGAGAAAGAGAATCGCTTTGATGACACTGGTTGTTCAGACAAAGAAAACAGGTCATGAGAGAAGCAAACACATCCTATCTCTGAAATCTGAGAACTGTGTGTCATGAGCTGACATCATAGCACTTCCTTTGTCATTGAGAGAGTTTTGTTCTCTGGTCACTGGAACACAAGAAGAGGGTAAAATGGATAATGAAATAATTTCTTCTTCCCCTCCTTCCACATCTATCCATAAGATTCAAGGGAGAGTGTAAAGAAGAGGTAAGGAAGAAAGGATAAAGGAAAAGAGGGAAAGAAAAGGAGGGCCGCCAGAGAAGCCCTTTGGGCATTTAATATCAATGGCGTGACAGAAAGTTACACTAAATACAGAAAAAAAAAAAAAAAAGAGCAGAGAAAGCAAAGAAATTTTTGATTTAGGAAATTGAGATTTTGAAAGGCTGCACTGGAATAACTTTGTGTATCAGTAGAAAACTCTTCAGTCTCAACAGATTCCTGTAGTAAATGGCAGTTTTTCAGAGGTAGAATAAAAATGTCCTTATAGCTATAACTATAACTATATTAACATGGGGATTTATTTCATTCTGACAAATTTTAATTCTTAATTCAAAAGCATTACTTACAAATCATTATGTAGAACTCCTCAAATCTTCAATATTGAAAAAAAAGATGAAATGATAATTTAGATACTTTGTGTAGGTTAGGAAATGATGATATATTTTAGGACAATTTTTGTCTTGAGAATATATCTCTTCATCAGTCCCATACCAATAAGCTGTAAATCTGTCCTACGTCTTACAGTATTACTTTTCTTCAAACTTCTTTCTTGGCCAAATATGCAAAACCTTGATTATCATGGACTGTGAGATCAGCTTTTTCTTCTCTTCCATTTCCCTTGCTTGAGCAGGACAAACGTAAATGCCTCTAGGTATAATCTGGCTTTTCCATTCCAGTGTGACAACCCCAGGAACAGAAGGGTCAGAGACTCAAAAGGCCACAGTGATACCTGGCTCTCCCAGCAAGATACCTGAAGAGATCAGCACCCCTTCTGAGGAGGAGAGGCTATACCTCCAGACCCCAACATCCAGCGAGCGGAGCGGCTCTCCCATTGTGCAAGAGCCTGAAGAGATTCCTGAGCCCCAAGAGGAGAGTTCTCCACAGAAAACCAGCCTTGTGATCGTGGAGTCTGCCAGTGACCAGCCACAGGCCTTTCAAGGACTTGAGGGAGATGCGGCTTTTGAAAAGGTCTGACTTTCTTCTCTGTTTCCTTGCCCACCTGTAACAAAGCTACAAACCTTCCAGTTCCCATTTCTCCAACAACTTATTTTTTATTTAATAACCAAAAAGTTTGCCAGATTAATTATCCTGGATCATGGGAAGCCTTCCATCTCTTCCAAGTCTTAGAGCCAATGACTCTAGAGGAACTAGAGTTTCAACACCAGCTTTTGTATCATAAAAGCCAAGTTGTCATTGGACACACTTTTACTACTAAGAAAGAACTCTATAGTGAAGCAACAATCTGAGGTAGATTTGCAAGATTCATAAACTTGTGTGAAGGTTGGTGTCAGTGAATCCCAGGTAGGACTTCCAGTGCAGATGTGCTGGCTGGCAGCCCTGAGAGCTCAGCTTGTGATCAGTACACAAACTGTGGCTATCTGGTGGCCTTAGTTCCCAAAACACACTTCTCTCAATAGAGGAAGGATAATTTCCAAACTAGATTTCCTAAAACCTAGAAAGAGAACATTATGCCTAAACTTATTGATATTTCTAAATGTACAAACACCTGATGGTGACATAAGATTATATCAGAGTGTGTGTCTTTTGTCCTCAAGTGAGTTTTAAAGTTGCAAAGAGAGGTACTGACCATCTTAAGAGAGAGAATTTCTTTTCTCTCTCTCTATTTTTATGGAGATACAGGGGTTTGAACTCAGAGTCTTGCATTTGCTAGGCAAGTACTCTGTTACTTGAATCATGCTTCCAGCCAATTTTGCTTTAAGTTATTTTTCAGATAGGGTCTCAAATTTTTTCCTGGGCTGACCTCAGACTGCAATCCGTCTTTATCTATGCCTCCTATGTAGCTGGAATTATAAGCAGCTCCACCACACCTGACTTTAAGAGATATATTTAAATCGTTTATTCTCAAAACATGGTCTCTATAGTTCATATACCTCAACATTAGTTGGGGAGCTTGATCTCTCTTTAGAATCAGAGGGAATCAATCCCAAAGAGTGGAGAGGGAGCAGAAATCTGCATTTAAAATAAGTCCCCAGCATTTCTCATCCACAGAGACATGTGAAAATCTATTTGAATTAAACTTAATGTGATTTAAATCAAATTAGATATCAATTTTCCTTTCAAATAGTAGTAGAGTTTCAAAGGCATTTTATGTTTAAAAGTGTTTTAAAAACATTACTATAAGACTTAGTAGTAAAAGA